GGAAAAGCCAGGACCATATTTAGTTATCAACGCTTGTATTCAATCATCGTGTCCTAGTTTTGCCATAGCTAGCAATTTTTCGATTGCGAAGCTTACCCAATAAAAGAATAGTACAATTCTCTTTCTGTTTATAAATATTCCCATAATTACTTTTATTTTTAATTATTTACTTTAAGTGACTCAAATAAATATTTTAAGTTCTTAACAGATAAAAGAAGTAATTTATTTCTTATAATACATAAAAAATAAAAACGTTTATTTAAAAAAATTCATTTTTTATTTAGTTTGGATAAATTATACTATTTATTGATCTATTATCCATGCAGTCATGTATAACAAAAATATATCTTATGAGAATCAATTGCAAAATGTCAAGGACGTTATATCTTAGCCTAAAAAGTAATACCCTAAAAGGATTTTAAATAACTGAAGCTAAAACTGAAACGGATTTTTTAATTTATCTACCAATAAATAAGTAAATATATAAATGTAGAAAACAAATAAGTTTTAAAACTAAAGTTGTCTTAACTTTTTATATAAATTTTACGTAAAATTTTAGGATATATCTTAAACTTCATGTAAAATTAGCACATGGGTTAAAAATATACTTATATTTTACTTATACTTATATATTGCAAGCATGTAGACTGTATATATATTTGAGCTAATTTCACTGTGACAGAATGCAATTCACTTAAAATGCACCACACTACACTACTATATTCAAGCAAAGGAAGCAATATTGAGATATAATGCTAACTAAGCAAAATTACGTTAGAAAGCAAAACAAGGAATAATTCCTGAGGTAAATTATATTTCCTTTACCTCAAATTCAACGCGCCGGTTTTTTCAAACAAAAACATATTTCGAGCGTAATAAATTGCATCTCAACTGCATCTGGCGTTCATCGGTCGATCGTTTATTGATCTTATCTGTGTCTGATTGTGAGTCAGAAACGATCCTCATTTTAATCTCTTGTTCTCCCTTTCTGCTGTCAAATTGTATTCCTTTGTTCGAATGAGGTTCAACGTTCAATGACGCATTAAACGTGGCTTTGAAAAACAAATTTACAGTAATTTTGCTTGACCTTTTCTAATTATACCGTCTATTAAAATTAAAATTAATTAATTTTCAGAACAAGATTAAGAAATGTCGTATCTCAAATACTTTTATCATTATTTATTTATGTACATTTAATTATTTATGTTACAAAGTATTCTTCCGACGATTTTATTTTTGAATACATTTTAGATTCGACAGTTATGAATGACTTTATCATGTCTATAAAGTTAACATGCTAACATGAGCACAATCATCAGGTGAGACGTACAAAGAATTTAGTGCTCTTTAGGAACTAATTTATTGTTCTAATCTTGATTTTGTTGCTCTAATCATAGCAAGAAATTGGTTTTATGTTAAAATTTCTAAAAACTTTCTTCTCCGATTTTTGTATAATATGTCGAAGGCGTACAAAATCTTTAAAATAATCTGTCTGAAGTTTTTTTTGCAAAAGTAAATAAAATGTAAACGTAGGTATTAAAAAACAGATATAAAAAACAAAAAAATAGATAGTAAACAGCAGATTTGTTTTGTGTTGGAAATACTGTACGACGATAAAACTGTACCTCAACAACAACGAATTGTTATTATTATTTTACAAGGGGCAATAACGTGTTGTAAATGTAATAGCTATCATTTTGAATATATTATTATATTATTACTTTATTGTTATTATATAACTACCGATATTACAGAAATTATGTTTATTATTTTGCTTTCAGATTATATCGCGTATTGCAAGAGATTATTTTCCGATAAAGTGTCAAAAACTGTTTACAAATATAATAAAGCATCGAATATTTCTATTATTGCTGTCATCGTTATATTTAATCCTGAAATTATATTGGCAACATCATAACGATTTAACAAAATATCTTTCGCGAAGCTTAGGGAGAGTATTATGGGAGATAACAGTGGATATATAGATCCCGAATCAAGCAAAAGTCAAGCGAAATTGAATTTGCCAATACGGAAAGCTAACTCCCAAGCTTTAGTCGAGATATGAACTATAAAAAGCTTTTATGGAGTAACATTAGAACACCAAGTGAAAGCCAAAGCAAACAAATTTATATCCGCTTACGAAAGGATGTTTTCTGGAAAATTTCCTGGATATAGAAGCGATTAAGCAGTAACACATTTTTCTTAACATAAAGATCTTTTAACTTTTCTGCTGTGGTTGAGATGTAACCAAAATGATAACTAATCATTTACAGAAAAAGTGTATCCACTAATTGTTTTCTCATGTTAAAAGGTATAGAAATAATAATTGATCTATGAACTTTTTGTAAGGCGACCTTAAATAAAATAAATTTTTTTAATATAATTTTGGATTTTTTAAAAAATTATATATATACTAATTTGTTAAAATTTTTTATTTCAATGCAAACTTTATTTTTATATTTATATATTTTTATTCTTTTTTATCTATGTGTAACATTTCCTTTTAATAATAATAATAATAATCTTTTTTCGCTCTCTATTTCTTTTTTTATCTCTTAGCTGTCTCTTATTTTAACACATTTCAGATTTATTCTTATTTCAGATTTATTCGGTTTTTTATTTTTGCGATAAAATACGACCATATACCATCACGGCTGTAGACAGGAGATACCAACAATAAATGCGTTATTCATCATCGATCGAAACACCCGGTGTAAAGTATCGATCATCCCTCGATGACGGAGATAAATGTGGTCATTGAGTATTATTCATGCATCGATAGCGCAGCAAACACACTTTGTGTAAAATCGTCAATACATATTGCATTGTAGAAATTTTTATCGTTACATGAATAACGTATTTGGATACTTAATATATCTCTCTTTATATTAACATTTCTTCAGATAATATGAAATAACATGGCTCAAAATGTATTTTTGTCGAAACTAATTGCTGTACTAACTGCATAACAATAATAAAATGAATACATATATCGTATTCATACTTATCATTCCATATTTGTGTATGCAGCCACATAGAACAATATTTTTCTTCTAGGCTGAATTAGTTTCACACTGTGCGCTAGTAGAAAAGTGTTAATGCAAGTGATGTGAGTCGATGCGTGGTCAGACACGGAGTACGAAGCACGGAATTAGCTTAAGAGAGGTGTGCGACTATAATTCATGAGACCAATCGATAATAAAGTCACGACCACATGAGAAAGCGACTGTTTGTCGCATTCGTCTTCTATGTTTAAGGTTTATTTTAATGGATTCACATAGAGGACATTGATCAATCAATCTTGTCCAATATTGCTTTCACAAGATCGATCTTTACGGAGTAGCGTGAGTTTATCTTAAATAATTGATATTAATTTTATTTAACTTTTAATATGCATTCTATATATACGCGTTCTATATATCTATATTTTCGTTACATTTCTTATATATTTTTTATATATAATTCCATGTTTATGCAAAACTGGAAGAGTTAAACAGAATATTTAGCAAATAGTAATGTAAATCAGTAATATATAAATATAAGAAATAAAAATAATAATAATATTATATTAAAAATAACATCTACTGATGTGTGATTTTTTGAGAAAATAGTATCTTAACAAAAAATAAAATATTTTTAAAGAATAGTTAATAATAATTTTTAAACTCTAAGTAAAATGCTCTGTATACCATTTTATAACTTTATATAGTATACACTCTAAATCCATAGCAATGAAAATTTGACTGCTAACAAAAGTGAGTAGCAAAATTATTGGTTGCGTTCAGCAGAGAAAACTAATCTGCAGTTAGCACTTAGTGATTCTTCAATATAATTGGTTCCTACATTTCGATCCAGTGAAAAATTAAAGGCAAGAATCAATCACATTAAAGAATCACTAAGCGCTAATCGATTAATTTTCTCTGCTGAACGCAGCCATTGTTTTAAGTGTGGATTTTCACTGCTTAATCTGTCTACTTGTACATAAAGAAGTGGACTATTTCATTCGATTAATCAAAGTGATTTAAGCATTAGTTGATAATGCATTGCAAGATGCATTGATTGATACTGCAAGGAGTGAATTTAGCAATATAGCATCGCTATGTCGTTTGTCGCATGTTTATCGTTTGTCATGGTCGTTACGGGCGACGCATCTTGAGACACATATGACATAAACATAAGAGACAAATTAATTTATTTTGCAAAAAATTATATACGTACATATCATTATATCATTAAACTATTATTTTACCATTAAATAGATTAAATTTATAATTACGTATATAATTTTTTCAAAAATTTATAATTAAAAATAAGGTTAATAGATTAATAGATTGATAGCATGCTGTGTTCAAAATCTGTCTCCGCAGACTTTGTTATCTGAGTTTGGAATGACATTATTCTGTCATTATTCTAACCTTCAAATTCACTCCTTTTTAGAGTAAATTTTTCACTCCAATTATCGAATGGATTTTCCATTTCCATCTTGCAGTAAAATTCACTGACAGTAACATTGGCGCAATTGCCACTAATGCCTGTAATGAAATTTCAATTTAATGCAGTGAAATTTCATTGCAACAGATTTAGAGTGTAAGTTATTGTATATTTTTTTAATAACTTGTTTTAAAATTGCCTTAATTTAACCTGGTTTAAAACTGTCAGTATCTTAATGTTTCTCGATATTAAAAACTCTCTTGTTAAAGGTACTTGAAAAATTGAGCATTTTGCAATTGCAAAAATGGGTCATTCAATATCTAAAAATATCCTGTAAAAAAGTTTACAACGATAAGACTCGCATATTTATTATGCCAGACTGGAATTAATTAAAACTGTTAATTAACAGAAACTGTTTCGCTGTTCTTATCTGACCATGAATCGACTTCCTACTTATTCTGTTATAGAACGTGTCCCGACATTATTAAAGTAGCAAGATGCGATTTTCTGGTTTCAGCGGAAGCAAGGCGGAGCTGAAGCAGCCGGAGGATAGAACGGAGGAGGAGAAAATGGCACTGCTGGGCAGACCGCGTCTAGGCGAGGTGTTCCGAGCGCAAATCAGGATTAAAGAATCCAAAGAGTTCAAGAACACTGTGGATAAGCTTGTCCAGCGAGCAAACGCCTCCATAATACTCGGTGAGCTCCTAATATGATCTCTTTTTGGAACATTTGCTATAAAATGTAAAGATAACAATCATACGCGCGCGTATAGACATACAGGATCTTTTTGAACTCTTCGTAGCACAATCGAGAAGTAAAATATCAAATTATGTTTCCTAAATGGCAAAGTGACATCTTGTAGGCCAAAATAAATGTCACTATGTTAACCTGCTACTTAATTTTTTAATTTTCAGAGACATTTTTCTCAAAAATATATATTTACATGAAAATATTCAGTAAAAAAATACGTGTCCCTTATAAACAAAAATTATTGTAAAATTATATGTTGATTGGAAACTTTTTTGATAGTCACTGTAACTCAAGAATCAAATTTAAACACAAATACAAAGTGTACGTATATAATTATGTAATTATAATTAAAATTATGACAGTCATCACGGTTGAGACAGAACATTGTATTCCTCAGTTATACACGTTCAGTAGCGCTTTGTTAAAACATGAGAGACAAAGAGAAATAAAATTGGGATGAAAGTTTCAATTAATTCCTATGACTGTTTCTCATAATTATATAAAATATGGTAAAGTTTCTATTCATAGTTTCTTCTTTACAAGAAGTTTTCTTCACCAAGCTTCTGCCATAAATTTATTATTGAACAGTCTGCGCGTCTAACACGAACTTGCTTGACTTAATCTTTCCCAATGGAGAAATGCGTATCACGGGACGCGCGAGCATCTAGATTGAGGCTCTTTAAAAATGCAACTCTGAGGAATGCAGCATTATGTATAGAGGCTCGTGAAATTCAAGACTCCCTTGGCGCCACATGCATGATTCTCACGTTTCTGCGTTTTCTACATTCACCTTAAATTTTTGCTACTTTGGCTATGCAACCGTTTCAGAAACATACTTCTTACATTTTTTTACATTTTGAGCAGCCTTTCTAATATGCACTAAGCTAGATGCATGAATTGCAAATGAAAATTTGAATTGCAATAAACTTGACATTTAATGTATAATTATAAATACTTTCAATGTAATTATTATTTTTATATCACTGACACATATATTATAACGTTTTATTTTATAGAGAAAAATAAAAACATTAATGAGACTTAAATAAAAACTTGTCGATTTTTAAATAAGACCCTTATGATTCATAAATTTTACATGTCGCTCATTTGCTACAACAATATAACTAAAAATTGTCATTTTAGTTGCTTGCATAAAAAAACAAAAACTTAAAAAAAAAGAATATAATTTAAAGGAGCATATTGTTATTCCTACAATTGTTTATTTTATTATATCAAAATTAATAATAAAATTTAAATGATTCAAAACATTTAAACTCTAGAAAATTTTATTTTTTAAATTGTGTCGTCGCAAATGAACGATATGAAAACACATGTGAACAAATTGATACAAAATACCTAATAAAATTCTTAGAATGGCGCTATTATCACCTACTATTATGAATTCCGTAAACTTCCAATGGAAGCTTTGAAAATGACCGTGTCGAATTTTCTTTCGCTATTGACTTCAAGCACAGAAAATAATAAAAAACACAAAAATATCAGCAACGAGCTGTTTCCTATTGTCATTTTGGTTCATTTCTTCCTTTCGCTCCCCAGGAGGCTTTTCTTTTCTTCACGACAGGAAGTTATTCCATGTATTCTATGTTCCTCAAAGCATCTCTGAAAAGCTTTGGTAAGAGCTTTGGTCAAGAAATCGAATTTACAAACAGCAACGAAACTTCATTATGTGATAATCTTTTTCGACATTTAATAAATAATTGCGATTAATGGCAAAGTATATGTACAGTACGTAAAACATTTAATGGACAAAATATTATTTAGTGTATGGATAAGAAATATTGCAAATATTATAAATATATGTATAATAAAAAAAGATATAAAAAATATTTATCAACGTACTTTATTTGGTAAATATTTATTGCAAAAATTAAACAAGATGGGAACAATTTAATTTTCTCTCCACGGAAAAAAAAGATTTGTTGAAACAATTAAAAACTTCACAGATTCAGCAAATCTACAGCCGCATATGGACAGCCAGTTTTCTTTGTTAAAGTAATAAAATTGTATAGCTGAATAAAATTAACGCTTATAGATAATCATATTTGTTGTTATAGCACAGCAAAAACACGGGCAGATCCAGAGAATTATTCTGAAGGGGGGTGATATGATGAAATGTAAATATTTACTTATTATTGATGTTATTTTCATCGTTGATGTTATTTTTAATATCTTTTAATTATTTTTATTACTTTATTATTTTATTATATTTACTATTATTATTATTATTATTATCATCATGATCATGAAATAGAAAATTATACATGTTTGGTATTCAGCATTTTATTAGCCAGATATATTTTTACATACGTATTAACATAATATGAAATGTAATTTAAAAACAAATTTTGTTATATAATAAATTCTAACTTTCTGATAATATATAGATCAAAATTTTGAACAAAACTGACTAATTATAAGATAGCGACTTTTGCTGCTGTAATGAAGAAAACTTGTTACATCAGCAATTTTTATCGTAGCAAAGAATAAGCTAAATTAGCATTCTCATAATTGCTTACAGACATAATTTCTTGGTTGAACCATCAAATCTTCTTAGTTATAAATGTTGAACTTACGCAGCAAGCTATAGCTTTTGCTAAACCATCTAATCTGTTTTTCTCCGTGTCTCTTCTATCCTTTCTCTCTCTCTCTCTCTCTCTCTTTCTCAATATGTTTGTGTATATACATACACGTGTGGAAATGGAATCGATTACAGTGAGAAAGGAATATCACGTTGCTCTATTATAGTGCTTTTCTTTGTCCCGTTTTCCTTTCTGCATGTTCTGCTTTCACTCGGCCTGTGAAGCGGAATCGCTCAAAGCATTTTTCGACTTTTACCTTCGATAAAGCGCTTCATTCACTTGTTCGTCACGATTATATATAGATTTGAATGTGAACAAAAATGAGATTTTATAGTATTTTTTTACTGCATTCAGTATTGAGTCTTTATTGAAGAAACAGGCTGAATCCTTTGTTTGTTTATGCATAATAGACAGCAACTGTCGTTACTAAATAATTTCTGCGATAGCGTTAACTGTTTTAAGAATTAATCAAGAATTATTATAAATCAATTTAAAAAATTGTTAATAAAAATTAAAAACTTTTACGATTTATAAAATTAATTTATCTATCGCTGAATGTTCGAGATATATAATGTCTTTTCTGTTTTCTACTTGTTTTCTAAAATATATAAATTATAAATTTTATTTTTAGGTACAAGTTCTTGGAAAGAACAATTCATGGAAGCACTGACAGTCAGTAGGGGTGATGAGGACGACGCTGAGGGTGAAAATGGTCAACCTTCCTCACCATCCGTGATGGATTACCTTATGCACTCCCTTACCATTTTCTGGAAGGTTCTCTTTGCCTTCGTTCCACCTACAGGTGAGTAAAAAAATCTTTTTATATTAATATTATTGCCTATCTGTGTATAGAATGAATCATTTTAATGTACCCTAATTTTTCTTCATTTTGTTAAATTTGGAACATTCTTTATTATCGTTTTTTTTTTTGGATAAAAGAGTTTTAAATTCAAATTTCATTCTTTTATAAAACGCGTTTTATACAAGATGTTAATGTTATCGAAATTTTGTAAATATATAATATTTTTATATCATAATATTTTTTAAATATTTTTTTAATGCTTTGAATGTTTGCATAAACATTCCATATAAAAACTATTGTGGTGTAAGTAATTGGTGATTTACAAGACGTTTTATATTTTGTTGTGACTATTTCTGATATGAAATAGAACCTATAATAATTAATTTATTGTTTATGTATTATTTGTTAAATAAATTTTTTCCTCAGAAATTGATTATATTATTTATAAGTACAAAATTATACAAGAAACCTTTTATCTTAAGGTATGATGATTCTTACGGTAAAATTACGATAAAAATATTTTTTAAATAATTTTACAAATTTGATTAGTTTCTTTAACATGCGGAAAGATGTTTTCAGCACCTTCGAAATAATATATACTTTGTCGTGAATATTAATACTGTGGTTTCAATCTTATATGAAAACGTTTATAGATACGAAATTGCCATTGGCTTTAACGTGATGAAAGGTAAAGCGAATTTCGATCGAAATGTGTTTATGATGGCGCAATCTGCAAAACGGAAAATGGTACACCTAAACTCTCTCTCACGGGATAATGTTTTTTAATATTCACGTGCGTACGAAAAGATTAATCACAAATTGATTTATATAAAGAGATGTTTAACGAAAAATAACTGTGAAATTTTAAAACTTGAAGGTTATTCAGTAATCCATCTTAATAGTATGAGGAACACGAAGATATAGTAGATATTTATTATCTTTGTGCAAAGCAACTAAAGAAACTCAGCTTCTTGTAACCAAACACTTTGATGAGGATTTTGTGAAAAGTTTGAAGAAAATCGATTCTTTTTGTTTGTGTAATTTTATGTCTTGAAGAAAAGTTTGAAGAAAATCGATTCTTTTTGTTTGTGTAATTTTATGTCTTAAATTTTTCACGGATTGTCTTCGTTTTTTTATTTTTGATGTTTCTTCGATTCTATTTTAACCTATTCCTGTATTTTTTGAGATGTGGGAGAGCTTTACTGCATTCTTTAGTCATGGCTCTACTTCCATCCAGGTGGAAGAAAACGAGGAAAGACGGTAAGAGGAGGATAAAGGGCGAGGAGAAGACGTGCTTTATTTCAGCAAGCACAATCGCAAAGACCTGCTGAGCAAAAGCTCTGGAAACTACTGTATCGAGCAACGTAATTTCACCTTGTTTATCTTTCTCTTCTTTTTTACCCGTCGTTCTTGTAGGCTTCTACGCAGAAGCACAAGATGCAGAATTGTATTTACTCTTTCTCTCGCTTCATCTTTTATAAGGAAAAAAAAGCTTAATTTCCGGACAGAGCCGGAGTGATCGAGAAATTTCTTTGATATCAAAAACAAATCCTAGATTAGAATATAATAAATAAATGTTCCAGGTATATAAAACATTTTGCTGTTACGATTGCAATACTTTCCAGATAAGCCGAAATTTATAGTTATGTAACTGCAGATTATGCAACCGTAATATGCGGTTGCAACGGTATGAGCGAGATTTATGAACACATCGCATTACTAAATGCAATATTCCGCAGTGAGACATGTTGCCGGAAAAGCCGGCAAAATCTGAAGATGATAGTCGAATTCCCAAGAAACTTAATTTGCGAGTTATGTATACATAAACGCAGAGATATGCATAATATCTTAGTTTAACGGTTTTTTTTAAAGACGTTCAAAAATCCCCTGTGAACCTGAACGTGTATTACACAGCAAATACGTGCACATATATACAAACGAATAGATAAAGAACGCTATATACATACGGCTATACATTCTTCTCTGCTCTCTCATGAAATTTCCACGAAATTTCTGCCTGATTTATAGCGACCTGTGCTTCTATACTCTTTTCCAAAGTAAATTTCGTTCGGAATTTATGGCAATAAAATAACGAGATATCAAACAAAATTTTCTTTAATAAAAATTAAGAGTTGATACATCTTTTGCAACGGATGATATAGTCGAGTAAAATAAGTAAATTAGTAAAAATCTTTTTTAAAAAATTGCTTTTTAGTACTATCGATACTATATATTTTGTTTTATATTAGAAAATCTTCTAAAAAGAAAATATAAAAAATTGGATTATAAGAAATAAGTAGATTTTTTAAATAAAATTTTTCTTTACAGTTTAATTAGACATAATAGTGTGTTATATATAAGAATTACAATGCACTTTATTTTTATACTTTCAGACTTTTTATTTAATATTGTCAGCCGAGTTTTTATTCGATCTCGAGAAAATTTCCGAGCTTACGATTTTCCGATAATTACATAATGTAATCAATAAGAGCGAGTTGCTTGAAAAAGACCACGAAACACTTTAATAAATCAGTCGAGTTTAGTACAAGAGTAGTATAGCAAGCATGTAGCAATAATATACACCGACCACGTGTAACAGTAAAACTAACCGCGTGTTTACAGACTCTTTAGCTGTATTAACGCCCACGTTCCAACGTAAATGTATCTTCGTATACAGATTTCTAATAATAATTCCCTTTTGTTGCCACATACAAGCGTTTGCGCACAAAGAGAGAGAGAGAGAGAGAGAAAATTTTACTTGTGGCATGAACCGCGTCAGCCTCGTGGCTCTCAAAGAATTTCAAATGTCTTGATAATAATTCCATAGAAAGCGTTTCGCGAGTTTCACGTCAATTGCGAATATCTCGGACGACCATTTGGAGAACGTTAGGAACTAATAATAATATTCGTTATGTATTACTTCAAGGACTTTTGTCACATGATTTTGAGACGTGATTACAATTCTAATTGTAAGATGATGCCTATTGGCACAAATGTGAAGAGATGCTTGCTTTTCAAGTATATAATATAGTGATAAAAGTATGTTATGTGTGATAAAGGAAAACTCTTCTCAATTTTCACATAATAATGTATGTACGAGATCAAGAAAATCCACATACAGTTTACAAGAAAAAAAACCTTCCAATATCGGTATTAATGTAACGCGTGGAGTGAAATATAACAAGAAGGAAATGGAAAGAGAGAAAAAATTATAATCGAATGTAACGAAAATGAAAATAGAAAACGTAAAAAGAAACTAAAAGTAGTTCAAGGAACTATACGAGGTAAAGGAGCTATTATGAAAAAGATTACCGCACCGTTAAATTAGACTTATTACACAAGAAATTATAATACTTATTACACAAGAATTATTAGACTTATTACACAAGAATTATAATGCAAGACTCCTAAAGACGTTTTCCCTCACTATTCTTGAAAACAGAATACATCGCAATCTTGGTTTCTTTATTAGTGTATTTTATGATTGGTAAGTTTTAGAGAGAATATATTTGCAAAATTTCAAGTAAGAAGAAACACAAAACTCATTTATATAACGACAATTTTTTAATAAAATTACAATTATTTTAATTTTTACAAAGTAAATCTGTACAGAGAGTTAAATTGATTATGCATTTTTATTTCCACTTTTAGACGTCTTACAATTTGAAATGAGTTGAACGTAATTTAAGCACTTGTCTATAAGAAATAAAATGAATACAAATGAGAAACTCATCCCTGAGGGAATTGTTAAGAACAATTATGTAAAAGTTGCATTTTTAGACAAACAGCTTATGATTAAACAGCTTTTGTAAAATTATATATAAAAACATAAACATAATTTATGTATGTAATACGTATATTGCAAAAAAGTTTTATATAATTTTTATAAAATCTTTTCTTTATATTCTAATATAATATTAATTGCGCTAAAATAATATATACAGAACAACAATGCAAATGATGGACATTATAAATTTCTGAACAAAAATTGTACAAAAATTACATATTTTAAAAATTATCGTACAAAATTTTAATAGAAAATTTTGTCCATTTATCACAGTTTTAAACTAATTTTTATAAGTGATTTTATTTATCGGAAATAGCCAATTACGGTAAAATAGCGTTTTTAAGCTACGTTACGAGCATCGTGATTTGTAAAAACCAAGCAGAATTGAGCTGAGGCAGCATAATTAGTCCCGAGAGTAAGCGTAAATGAGGAAAAATTGTGGACTTTTAACTAGACTAATTAAGCTCTCAAACGTGTGGTTACATGGTAGTGTATGTTTGCGTGAGCGAAGAGAGCGTCACTTTATAATTTGCATTTTGTTCATCCCGCATATCGCGCAAAGTGATTAAAGTTCTTTGGCACTGTTACCCAATGTTTTTTCTATTAAGCCCCAAAAATATATCATCGGTTTCACTTCCATTATTAAAATGAAGGACAGCGATTTTAACATTAATTTTTCAGTTTGATTAATTTTTTATAATCTTTTGTCAAATATGGATTTTACGTACAAGGTGACAAAAAATTTTACACATTTGTATGTTTATCAAATCATTGCCCAGATAACAATTGACGTTATTTATCGTCATTTTGATGTAAAAACAGCGACAAATAACGCCAACTTGCTACCTGAACAGTAATATATATAGTATATAATTATAAAAAAAAAACTGGAGTGTGTTAGTTATATCTTATTAAATACCAAAAAAATTCTGCTCCAAAAATTTTCGACTGATGAATTGAAGACATATCTTTTGCCTACCTAAGAGAATTTATTCGTAGAAAAATGCGTGACCATCGTGAATGCATTCTTGTAATGTCTTGAAGTTTATATGAAAGCTAAAAATGGCCATTTTGAGCATTAATTATTATTTTTTGGTATTTAATAAGACATAATGAACACTTCAAAGAAAAAGAGAAAGAGAAAAGTTGTTTCTCATAAACATATGTTACTAATATTTGATAAACATAAAACTTTGTGGCCAAACTTTTTTTGTCATCGTTGTGTATATTTTTCTATTTCTTCTATTTTATACATACAAAGAAATATGCGCGCAAATAATATTTATATTATTTAACAATCCAGTTCTGAAACTCTGTATTTTGCTTTCGCAAAACGTATAGGAAACATTTTTTAAATTTCAGATATCGCCGGCGGTTATTTGTGCTTTATCGTCAGCATTCTGGGGATTGGGGTGGTCACAGCGATAATCGGCGACGTTGCCTCGTATTTCGGTTGTACTTTGGGCATCAAGGATTCTGTCACCGCGATTGTTTTCGTCGCCCTTGGTACCAGCATTCCTGGTAAGTATCTAAAAACTGAGGATGATATACGAGGAAAAGGGGCGACATCGAGAGAAAACGTACACTGGAAAAAGTCTTGTTGCACTAATTGGAATTTTGGCAGATCAATCAGAAAGGTATACTGAAAAAAAATTTATTAAATTTTAATGCATATTTCTTCGAATAGTAGACTTAACTAAATATTTAGTAAATAAATATTTACCCTAATTAAAAAGTGATAGTAAGTCAAATTAATGGTTCTTATATCAAATAAATATGTGTTTACATTTAGTAAATATTTACTTAGAACTTCAAATAAATATTTTTTTAATTTAGTATTTTTTTTAGTGTACGGATTAAACACTTTTATTAAATCTATTAAATATGCTAATCGACTCTAGTGAAAATTTTTCTTATAATTTTTATACGAATTGGAACATTTTTCAGAAATACTTAGAAATATTCGAAAGTTTATATCTTTTCTCAGAATTTTTCGTACATGTGAATTCTGAAATATTCTGAAATTTTTCATTGTATAATTTTTAAAAATATTTTTTAATTTTTTAGATTTTATAATATTTCATCAGAAATTATACTTGCAAAAAATCTTGGAAATCTTACGATATTTCATAATTAACATATATGGAAAATTCTGAGAAAAGATGTAGATTTTCTGAGAAGAGTTCCAATTCGTATAAAATATGTGAGAAAGTTATAAAAATATAGAAATTCTGAAAAATTATATGAAAAATTCTGAGAAAAATTTTTATCAGGGGAGAAGTTTAATTACGATAGGAATTCCAATTTATTATATATGACTAAAATTTATTTTGTTTGTACTTTCTTGTTGGTACAATCAGAACATTTTTTTAAATATATTATTAGAAAAGCGACCAACATATCTCCCACATTATAGTTTACCTTCGCATTTCGCATTTCGCATTGATCGCATTCCACTTATGACGTTTGCTGTATTACAACAGGCTTTTGAGATTAAGTGAGGAGAGCAATGATAATTTATTGCCCTTGGTCTTTGTGCCTGGGAATAATGGCTGCCGACGGCCTATGTTCTTTCGGGTGGAACGGTTAACACGTGCAACCATAAACGAGTTAAATACACTTTCTTCGTCCATGTAGCACCAGAGGGTTGCAGCACTGCTATAAAGTTCCATTGTAAAATTGCAATATTGTATACGTCGCGCAAAAAATATTACTGCGTCGTAAAATTGTAGCAAAATTAAAGGGTTCGCCTTTAGAAGACTTACACTGCTCTATGGCAATGTTGCGGTGAAATATATTTATGTTAAGGGATTACGTATATTCTAAAAAATATAGCAACCTTCTCTGCCTTTCCTCCAGAAATGCAGGGAATTAAAGTCGACGTACGCGGAAGAAAATAATAATATTACTAAACTTTATTTCTTATTTTACAAGTCTCCAATATTGCTGTAACCGTGTTGGAATTTTTCATTTCTTTGTTTCTACAACATTTTTTCGCATTTAACATGGCATTGCAATTTACAAGATTACATTTCGTTGTTGCATTCTAATCAGAATGTTCTACATAATTGGATTTTTTCAAGAGTACTTTACAGATTCCAAAATATTTTATATTTTTTATATTTAAAGTCGAGAAAGAAAAAACAAAGAGAGGAAGAGAGAGAGAGAGAGAGAGAGAGAGAGAGATAACTTTATGAAAAATATTTATAGTCATATTTACAGAAATCATTTACATTAACAAATCTTTAGAAACAATTATGACCTGACCTTTGTCTTTTATTTTTATACGAAATTCACGACGAGGGCATTTAATAAATCATTTGAGTGGGTGTACCAAAAGCTATTAAAAGCGTAACGACAATCGCGTCATTTCAAGTTTCTGGGTCAATAGGTTACGTTCAAAATTTACATCTAAAACAGAGGCTCGAAATTGATTATCCCCTAAATGTGTCTCTAACATCTTAATGTTCGGTGAACGTGCAGCTACTGCATTTTAATGTCTACAGGAAACTACGTGTATAGTAATCTTATACTTTCTATCTGTAGTAATTTTAATTATTAATTTAACTTATACAGTAAAGGTATCTCTTTCTCTTTTTAAATTACATCACAGAATACGGATTCTGAAATTATGTTTATTCCAAAAAATGTCTGCCAAGTTCCTATACCGACTGAATATCGACGAGATTTGCATGACGCACAGCATCTCGGCTGGATTACTTAGGCCACTGTGCTTTCCTTTTACACTGTGCTTCTTCTCTCTTAGAAACTTTACAGGAAACTTTCTTCTCCCAGAACCTCATCAATATTTATGCTGAAGGGTACCTCCCATCTCCCAAAGTACCGCTTATCGAGATCGGTTTGACGATCTTCTTTTCGTATCACTGGCAAAAAATCGAAAGATGGGATTTATTTAGAGTATAAAGTGCCTCAGAATTGCCTACAACATGGTATCAAGAATTGCGTTGCGTTAAATCACACGTAGCAAATAGCGAAGCAAACCGCATATCTATATAGAATCTTATATTTTAGATTTTTAAATATTTAAGACTTTTTAAATATTTAATTAACCTTCATATTTATCAATATATACAGGGTGTTTCCAAATTAAATGGCAAAACTTCGGGAGCGTGTAGAGGAGTAA